ATCTCTAAAGTAATGAGCCTCTTCTTTAAATCTAATACTATCTCAAATCTTTTTTCATGAGGCACAGATCAGTCAGTTCTCCCACAGAATTTTATTTCACAATGTACATTCATTAAAAAACACAAAATCTTCCTTAAAATGTATCTCCTATGTGACCCTTTTAATCTATGTTTCCAATCTACCTTCCTCAGTATATCACTCTCATCATAAGTTGGAAAGTGAAACTACAAAATATTATGATCACTCTTTCCCAGAAATTTCCTGTCGATGAGAGTACAAAGCAACCCTATCTTATTGCACAGAATTCTACCTCATGCTCTCCTCGGCCTAGATTTTACTTCACCACTGTCCTTTGTTATCAGGTCTCTCTGACCCCATTTAGTTTCTGTGATATTTGCCTTTGCAAAGTAATAAAATACCCTGTAGTATTTAGTTCCTAACCTTGGTCACTATGTAACCATGTCTTTTTTTCCCCACAGTTCGTGGTGGACCCAGATTTAAATGTTGCTCCATGTTCACTTGCTGCAGTAGGAACACTCACCCTGACCAAGGCGGAGTACAAATAGATATTGTGGGGCATGATTACAGCTCCAACAGTGCCAACCGCCTGCTGCAACTCCCTGGTTCCGCAGCCTTCACAAGTGGGCACAAACATCCCCTTCAACAGCTGTACTTGGTCTGGTTTTACAGTCACATACTACGGGGGCAGAGAAACACATTAGAGAGTTAGAGAGATCGATGGCACAGAAAAAAGGCCCTTTGGCCCATCGTGCCCGTGCTGGTCAAAAACACCCCCCTCACTATTCTAATCCCATTGTCCATCATGTGGCCCATAGCCTTGGCTTCGCAAGTGAACATCTAATTACTTCTACAATGCAATGATGGTTTCTGCCTCTCCCACTCTTACAGGCAGTGAGTTCCACATTCCCACCATCCTCTGGGTGAAAAATGCTTTCCTCACACTCTGTTACATGAGTAAGGTATGGCAAACTTCCAAATCCAGAGGTATTTAGCTGCAGAGCCAAACCCACCCTATCTAACTGGATACCTGGCATATAAGAATAAATATTCTCAGAATGTGGGCATCGCTGGCTGGGCCAGTAAATATTGCCCGTCCCTAGTTGCCCCTTGAGTTGGTGGGGGTGAGCTGCCTACTCGAACCACTGCAGTTTATGTGCTGTAGGTTGACCCACAATGCCCGTAGGGATGGAATTCCAGGATTTTGACCCAGCAACAGTGAAGGAACAGAGATATATTTCCAAGTCAGGATGGTAAGTGGCTTGGAGGGGAACTTGCAGGGGGTGGTGTTCCCACGTATCTGCTGCACTTGACCTTCTAGACAGAGGTGGTTATGGGTTTAGAAGATGCTGCCTGAGGATCTTTGGTGAATTTCTGCAGTGCATCTTGTAGATGGTACACACTGCTGCTACTGAGTGTCGGTGGTGGAGGGAATGGATGCTTGTGGATGTAGTGCCAATCAAGGGCTCGTGTGTTTTTGTGTCCATTGAAGTACTCAGAGACAAACATTCGACAAGGAAGGAGTTGTATTGACTGTATCACTTGATTAGTCCAATTAGGTTATCCAGTACGTGACTCAACCTTCACTTAGCCATCAAGTTCTGGAGCAATTTATTGAATGATACTGTACACCAGTCACTGAAAGTAAGCCTGCAGGGGCAGCAGGAAGTGAAGGAGGTAAATGGGATGTTGGCCTTCATAGTGAGAGGACTCAAGTACATGAGCAGGGATGTCTTGCTGCAATTGTACAGGGCCTTGGTGAGACCACACCTGGAGTATTGTGTACAGTTTTGGTCTCCTTATCTGAGGAAGGATGTTCTGACAATGGAGGGAGTACAGTGAAGGTTTACCAGACTGATTCCTGGGATGGCAGGACTGACGTTGGAAGAGAGACTGGATCAGTTAGGATTATATTCACTGGAGTTCAGAAGAATGAGGGGGAATCTCACAGACGTCTATAAAATCTGAACAGAACTAGACAGGGTAAACACAGGAAGGACATTCCCGATGACCGGGGAGACCAGAAGCAGGGGGTCACAGTCTAAGGATATGGGGTAGGCCATTTAGGACTGAGATGAGGAGAAATGTCTTCACCCAGAGAGTGGGGAGCCTGTGGAATTCTTTGCCACAGAAAGTGGTTGAGGCCAAAACATTGAATGTTTTCAAGAAGGAGTTAGATATAGTTCTTAGGGATAAAGGGATCAAAGGGTATGGGGGAGAAAGTGGGAACAGGGGACCGAGTTCGATGATCAGACCTGATCATAATGAATGACGGGGCAGGCTCAAAGGGCCGAATGGCCCGCTCCTGCTCCTATTTTAAATGTTTTGATGTTTCTATGATACCCTGACTTGCTTTCATTAGTTTCAAGTCATTCCTGTTTTAGTTAGACCTTCAATATTAATTTCCTCCAACATTGTATCTCAGCTCACATGGCACTGGGTTCTCAGCAGGCACGTGGCCTAAAGCACAGAACTGGGCAGATGTGCTTGCGTGTGATAGGGGCTTGCCCACTATCCTTGTGAACTTGGCAAATTCGGGCACCTCTGCCATCTTACCCAAGCAAATACAGTTCAGGAAGATTCAGAAATGTCACGTAAAACACTCATTGAAAACAAAAAGCAAATCAACACCCAGTCAAAGTAATGAAGCACCCATTGGACCCTGCAGTTTAAACTACAACAAAGTGAGCGAATTCATCCGCTGTTACCTCATATCCAAAAGTCACAGCCATTACCGCAATGAAGAATGCAAACAAAGCCTCCAGTTTTCTTAAACCTGGGGAGGAAAGCAGTTGGTGTTACACCACAGTCAGGACAGAGTACATTCCACAGTTCAATCAAGGCTCTCTTTCGGTCCCTCTGCCTCTGCCCATCTCTTTCTCTCCCTCTGCCCATTTCTTTGCCTGGCACTTCTGGGAGGGAAACCTGCAGCCCTCTCAGAACTCCCAGGAGGAAGGATCACCACCGGGAAAGGTCCATGTTGTTTGGGATGGTCTCTAGGGGGTTGGGGGGGCGTTAGGGAGGAGGGGTGGTGGGGTGGTGGTCACAGGGAAGGGGCTAAGGGGTGGGAGAGAGGGCAGGGCAGTAACTGCTAATGACCATCCCTGCCTTGTACTCAGTTCCCTTGGCCTACTGCAGGGAACCCTCCCTCCAACCAGGCCTGGTTAACCAGTTTGTGGGGTGATCTGCTTTCTAGTCAGCTCAGCTCCAGAATGATAAGGCCCATAGCCAGTCCTTCATTAATCACTTAAGGACCTCATTGTGCAGTGGACAGGAAGCTTTCTGCTCAGAATGTAATTCAGGCACTCTTCTGGGTGAAAAAAAAACAACTGTTTCCCAAATCCCCTCTAACCCTTCTGCCCCTTACCTTCAAACTGTGCCCCTGGTCATTGACCCCTCTACTAAGAGGTAACGCGTCTCACCACCTCTATCCCCCAGAACTGTCTGCATGTCAATCAGATCCCTCCTCAGCCTTCTCTACTCTAAGGAAAACAACCTCAGCCTATCTAGTCTCTCTTCATTGCTGAATTGCTCCAGTTCAGCCAACATCCTGATGAATCTCCTCTGCCCCCTCCAGTGCAATCATTTCCTTCCTATAGTGTGGGAGACAGAAATGCAGCTGTGGTTCAACTAATGTTATTTACAGCACTCACATTATCTCCCAGCTCGAACATTCAATGTCTTGTCTATTAAAGGCAAGTTTCCTCATGTGCCTTCTGAAGCAATGTATCTGAGGAAAGACAGGAACTCTTCAAGGCAACGTGGATCAGAGTCCCCTCTGATGGACAGTGAAGTGGAGTGGGATAAATGTCCTGGAAACACCACTGACTGAGTGAATGCTGTTCCTGTCTACATTCATATTCCAGAACAGCAGCCCCAATTACAGGCTTAGCAGGCTGGTTGAATGGGCCAGTTTGTCTTGTAGAGTATAGAGTCACAGAATCATTCCCAAACTAAACTAGATCACCCAGCCTGCG